AAATATACAAATAAGTAATATACAAATAACAAATATTATTGTCTTAAAAGGAAAGTTCTGTTACCTATTAATTCAGCAGGTTTGTTTGCACGTTGGTTAATAAAGGCTTCAAAAGCTTCTTTTAAACTGTTCGCAAACTTTTCGTTTTTATGAAAACATGTATTAACTATATTATCCATCTTATCTTTAAAGTCTAAAAGTTCTTGAACCATAGTTTTATCTTTCTCAGGATCTATAACTATTGTTTTACCCTTTTTCTGCAAATAAAAACAAAAAATGTATCTACTTGATTTGGTTTTAGAATAACATAAAAAAAATTTTTTAAGAAGTATTTAAAATACCTTAATATAAGAATTAAAATTTAAACAAAGTTCTACAAGGCCGTTTTTCACTCGACTATATAAATTATAAAGTAAAGATAAATCATTAATTCTATTTTCATCCAACAAACCACTTAATCCTTTTTGTAAAATACTAGTAATATGTTCAGATAATAACTGCTTTTCCACTGTGTGTATCAATGACCACCTGTAACAAATTAATAACGATATTATAGTTACAACATCAAATGTCAATATATACAAATTAAATATTTACTTTGTTGATGCATCGAGATAATGTAACAAACGTTCATTTTCCTCTTGAAGCCGTTTATCCACATGTGCTAAGTACTCAGGAACATCATGTTCATTCATTAATCGTTGACCTTCAGCGGCATATAATCTTTCAGTGGCAACCAAAAATCTATCAAAAACAAAATTTAATGAGAGATATAGAATGTATGTTATTTCAATTTGTATTTGTACTAATATTTGATAAAGATTCATACTTAGTTTCAAAGGCATCTTGGTAGATTTGTAGATCTGATAACATTCGTAACAATGATTTAAGAAGTGTTCTATCCACTGTATCACCTTGACGCTCTTTTTCAATAAGCATAAGTAATCCTTCCACTGTACGTGTTTGAACTAAATTATTTAGCACGATATATACTCTAAACAAATGTAAGCCCATATCCCTAAAATAATATAAATACTGAGCAAATTGCATAAAGAATTTGTTTTTAATACTTTTAATGTTTTAAAAATTTTTAAACATACCAAATAGATAAAATACTTGGATTTTGTAATACATATGTTCTATCCAAATATAGAAAAATACTTCTAATCATAATCATTTGCCTACAATGCGATTGCCAACACTCATTCATTTTTTTTAAGAATATATGTCTGTCCATTGATTCTGCTAAAAACTGTTCTATATTTGCTTGCACATGAGCTTCTGTTAACCTTGTTAACTTTGTATATAATGTAGATGCCATCTTATGATTACACATATTTTCTACTGCCTGATAAAGCTCTTCTAATGAATAACGGATACTCTTACTGGTCTGTATTGCAATTACGGCTTCTTGTAATTTCTCCCATGTTTGCTCTTGATAATTTTCTGGCAATTTTGGCTTATCTACCGAAAATATAATTTTTTAAATATTTATTATTATTTTTATATGACTATCATTTCCAGAAAAGTTTTTATATAAGTAGTTCATATACATGTATAAATTACTAACATGTAATAATTTATATACATATAATTCTCTTTAATATACTTTGATGAAATTCTATAATAAAATTAATAACTATAATATTAATGAATTTTATATGTAGTTGGTTACATATACAATGAAATTAACAGTAGATAAATATTCAATTCAAATCAATACATTTATCAAATCAATATATTTTTTATAATTATTATGAGCTAATAGGTTTATTTTGTGTATTCCTTTTTAAAAATAATTTATTTTAGGGACAGAAAATAAAATTAAACTATAATTACATTCTCAATTAACGCTATTCTATTATTATTGAAATAGTTCATAATTATTTTTAATTAATCGTCTAATAAAATTAAAGACGTGTATATATGAATTGATATTTTTGATTAATTACAAGATCAATGTCTGATAAATGCATAAGAAGCAAATAATACGTATTTTAAAGATATTTATCCATTTCAGTTTTTCATGATGTCAAGTTAGGTTATGTTAGTTTAGTTTTATTAATCGTATTTATGACTAATTCGACCTTGACTAAGGAACGCAAGGGGAAAGAGTGTTACAAAAGTACTAAAGTCGTATTAAAAATAATGTTGCAATTCACGAAGGCACATTGCCAGCCATAAATTACACCACGAATCTTCACGAATGGTAGCAGCTGATTTTGAGGTTAGGTAGTCCCATGGTCTTGCTTACTTTTGAAGTTTTTGATGACGAGTTTTCTAGCTGTACCAGGTTTTGCGCTTGCCAAACTTGGTGAAATCTTGTTGACGCCGTTTGGATTTCCAACGGTTAAAGCCGAGAAATTGGCTCTCTTTTGAGTATCAGTTGTGGCTGCAGCTGTGTCCGTCATGTTTTCAATCTCGTTGATCTCTGTGACCGCAACGGCGGACAGCTTGCTGCGTTTTGCAGCACCAAAATTTAATACCGCTGCGTGATCAGCGGCCGTTCTCTTCACTTGTGCTGTGGCTAGAACCTGAGTCCCCCCGAGCCTAGACATATGCGTGCATCACTCGGCCACCGGCCCTCAGCACACGGAAAACACAGTTTTCCACTGAGAAACTGAAAGAACTCTCCCTCTTCGTTCTGCCTCTTTATCCCTCTGTTCGAGAAGCGGAAAAACTTATTTATCTCAAACCCTGCTTCTGGCGAAACACGAACAATTGGTAATCTGTGCACATGCGCGATACAATTAAGCAGCGCTCTTCACACGTTTGCCGCGCAGTTTTAACCATTACAATTTCTTTCGTACTTCTTCACATATATTTTATTGCAATCACATTTTTTTTCGGAAGAAACTACATCAAATATTTCAGTATATTAGAAATTTTATTCTGTATTTTCAGATTGCATACATTCATTTTTTGAGGTGGAAATTTTATAATATATTTGTATTACCTTGAATTATGAGGAAAATAGGTTTCAAAATATACATTACACTTCATCTTATAGCCATTTTGGAAAATTATCCGTGTCTAAGAATGTATAAACATTTTTATATTCTCAATACTTTGGTGTATCTTAAAATATTTAGTGCCTTCTATTCATACAGTTTTATCTAAATAAAATTCATTAATGAAAATATATAAAAACGTGTGCGTATAAAATATATATGTATATGTATATATGTGTATGTGTATATATATATGATGAAGCATTTCATTAAAACTGGTAAAATGCACTATTTTATCACTTGAGTTCAAAAATTATGTTTTTATCAAAGTCTTACATAAGATTGAAACAAATTCCTTTTAAAATTTTGTGTGTTATTAATATTTACATCTTATATTTAAATATTTTAAGTATTGAATAAATCTTTTTTTTTGTACTAAAAATTCCTAAATATAAATTTCAATTAACAAAATTGTTAGAATGACATATTTTATGCAAAAAATCTTACAAAAGCTTTAAGAAATAAGGAATATCAAAGAAATATAAAGATAAGATATAAAATAGAAAGCAATAAAAATATATTCTATAATAAATTTAAACAAATAAATCATGTCTTCCATTATATATACATACATTATTTTCTTATGCAATTAAACGATTCAATTACATATGAAAATATTATATCAAGTTCGTTCTATTATTAAAATGTGTGCTTTGAACTATTTGCTTATAACAATTCATTTTTTAACATATATGTTATTTGCAATTTAAGCTATGAAATATCACTTTCATTTTCTTCTCTTTTGCTTTTGCTCTTCCAATCAATATACTCTATTAGTTATTCAAAAAATACATACTGTACTGATTAAAAGTAGCTTAAATTGTTTTTAAACTAAGAGTCATATACCTAGATTGCTAAATTTAGCTGAAAGTATTTAATATTAAAACTATTTTTTCATTAACTAGATATTGCCCTTTGTTTGTAAAAGAAAAACAAGGTACATTTTTTCATTCAACATTTTAAAAAAGCCAACTGAAAAGGCCTTTCTTTTTCTCTTCTTTAGTGGTTTTTAAGAAAATGCGATCAATGTCTTTAAAAACGTTTGTAGGAGACTGAGCTGCATTAACATAATAATGAATCCCTTGTAAAGCATAATAGTCAATCAAAGGTTGAGTTTGTGTGTGATATGTTGCTAATCGTTTCTTCAATGCTTCTGCATTATCATCAGATCTTTTAATTAATGGTTCTCCAGTAATCTATTAACAAAAAATTATTTATCGCTCTATATATTTTTGGATTTCATTTGTAAATTGCGATTTAATGAAGATAGTCATTATTAATTACATCATCTTTCATATGTTCTTTAGGAGGAGAAAATTCTTCATGGTATGATCTGCCACTCGCAGGATGTATTAAACGCCCTGTGATTCTTTTTATCAATAGATTATCATCAATTCCAAACTCTATGACAGCATCTAACTTAGTTTGTCTCTTTTTCAACATTTCATCAAGCTATTTCAATAGAAAAAATATTATGAATTTGATAAAAAAAGTACATTATTTTATATTTCTTATCTCAATGTTATTTCAAGGTCATTGATAACCTCCGCAAGTTGAATAAAAATGAACTATCATTAATGACGTTAACTTTAAATTATTTGAGATCATTTTGAAAAAATAAAGCTTACTTTTTCAGCTTGTGGAACGCTTCTAGGAAAACCATCCAATAAAAAACCACGTTTACATTCAGGTTTGTCTAGATTACTATCAATCATATTAACTACAAGATCGTCACTGACTAATTTACCCTCATCCATTATTTTTTTAATTTCCGTTCCAATAGGGGATCCAGAATTGATTTCTGCTCTAAGCATATCACCTGTGGATAGATGGCATACACAATATCGTTCTTTCAATAGTGGAGCCTAAAATACAATTGGTATTCGATTAAATAATTAAACAATTCATATTAATATTTTAAACATACAAGTTAAAATTTTCGTAAAAAAAAATTAATTTCACCTGTGTACCCTTACCGCAACCAGGTGGACCTAATAAAACTGCATTAATTCCTCTAGTCGGCACATTTTTTGGAACCTCTGCAATTTCTTTCGGTACTGCTTCTGCACGCGGAGCCATTTTTTTTTTTTTTTTTTTTAATCGACTACTCTTTTAATGAAACTTAACAATAAAACTTAAAAAAATTTACGAAAATGATTATGTTAAAGACCACTACTAAGAGTATAAGTTACTATTACGCACAGCGTGATCAATAACGAATAAATCAGTTCCTTCCAAGTCTTCTGAAAGAGCACAGTGAAATGGTTCGTCGTGTATATACTTGCCTCATCTATCGTTCCTTGTTTAAATTAATATCGATTTAAATCGAATTTGGTCGTAAATTTAAATTTAAATTTGGATATCGGACAGTATAAAATTACTTAATTGCGATCATCAAATATGAAACTTTAACTCTTACAATGTTTACTAAAGAACATAAATATTGGAAAATGTAGAATATTTTATACATATACTATATATATAACTATATTTAAAGTATATTTATATATTTCTATCGTGAAATTAAAAAATAAACTAGATATAGGTTAAAGAGAAATTATTTTCTGAGTTCATATATATTTTTATCTTATCATATTATATTATTATATTATATTAATAAATACACAGAAAATACATTAAACAAAATACAATTAACTAATTACACCAGTTACACCAACATGAATTATTAAAAATATGACTTTTATGGCTGTCAATCTAAATATAATAAATACATCATTATTATTATCAATTTCAACTTGACTAAAATTAAAACAAAATTTTATTATTTGAACAGAGAGCTGTTATCTAAATTAATTTTTTACTAAAATGTTTGACAAGTTTGTTTTTAATGCTTAATTTTATCATATATAAATTATTATGCTTATGTTATTCTTGTGTAAAAATAAATTATATTAAATTTACCTTAAAGGAATAACAAAAGAAATTTTTTGCTAAAGCTTACAGTCGAAATTTCAACTGGAATAAATTTTTTTTTTTAAATTAATTTCAGATTTTGATTTTGTAAACAAAGCTAATATTTCTAAGAATATTTTTAATCATTATATTGTAATTCTATTAATATTGTACAGAATAAACATTCTTCTTTCCATTAATATCATTCAGTTTTCCTTTCTAAAAACAAGTAACTTTGCTTCATTTGCTTTAAAAATTATTATTATGTTCTTAATACATTCATAACAGAATCATTCCACATTTGTCATATAATTATTGTCTATGTATTAATTTAATATTATCTACAAAAAATTCTAATAACCTAAATATTTATTTGCTTTTTTCTACTAGGATATATTTTACAATACAAAAATTTAATGAAAAATATAAATAATAAAAAGTAAAATTTGCAATTACTTTTTTAATAAAAAGTATAATCAGATTTAAAATTGTTTATACATTGTAAATATTTGTACAGCGAAATTTTATTATCAATATAGCCATATCTGAATATACTTTATATTTTTTTAAACTGTATAAGATAACTTATACATTAAATATCAAATAAAATAATTTACTTGATGAAATCCTATAACTAGTCAATATTAGGACGGCGTAAAAGTGGATAAAAATGATAAATAATAAACTAAAAATTGAATTAATTTTACACAACATAATACTATTTAAAATTATAAATTAATAGTATCTTCTTCGTCATACTTTACCAAAGAAGGATATATAATTTTCTTTGGTCAAAAATTAATCTTCTATTAGTAAAACATTAACAATGTAACTATCGATCTTATTTTTAAATTATTCAAATATAATATTTATTATGATGACTATATATTATAACATAAATTTATTTCAATAATTAATTACTAAAATAAATTATTTGTACTCAACATGTATATCTTATAATCACAATAGTTTTGTTATGTATAAATAAGTAATATAAATTATAATTTTAATCATAAAATAAACATAATTATTGCACATTTATCTATAAAAGAAAAATATTAATCCATAACATAAATTTCTTATTTAGTGTTTCTATATCCATATAAATTTTCAGTATAAATTATATTATACCTACTTTATCATCATTAAATATTTAAGAAATTCATAAATTACCAATTCTCTTAAAATTGCTTTTTTTGAAATATTATATTCTAAAGTTTATTACAGTACTATATATTGCACAATGTTTGGTGTTAATTTTTATACTTTTGAAAACTTGTGTATGTATTACTTAATATTCTATATTTCGTTTTCTTTTCATTAAATATTTGAAATAAGCTATTTGTTATATACTAAAATAGTACTAATATCAAGCTGTTTGGTCACAAAGATTTATTAACAGTATATTTTCTATTTTATCTATATTAATATGTCAACAAAGTACTTCTGCTAAATTTTTATACTTCATTCGCAGAAGCATTAAATAAATACTTGTATATTCATTTTAATTTTAAAGATTTTTTTAAAGTTTCCAATAAGTTACAAATATTCTAAATTTTTTTATGTATTGGAAACAATATTATACTAAATTATTTTTGAAAATAAATGCAATGTTGATGATAATATAATATAATAAATATATAAATAAATTTTCTATATAGTTAAACCATAGTATACCTATATAATTTTACTAGAAAATATTTTATAAATATAACACAGATATATCTGATTTTTCCCTGTACATAAGCTTTGTTATTTCAATATTAGCTAATAATACAAAACTAAAATATCCCAAATCTAATATAAACTTTGGAATATTTGCATATAATATTTGCAAATATTATACAGATCACAAGTATAGACAAATTTTATAGATTATAATTTCTAATGTAACTTTTATGGAAGTAGTAACTATGTGATCGAAATGATTGCATCTTATTATAGTTATTTTCTTTGCAATATTGGAAAATGCAAAGAGTTAAATATAAATCAGTATAACTTATAGTAATTGTATTGTACGTATATGTAAATATGCATATGTGCGTGCATAAACTTTTTAATTCACTATCCAAATACGTTTTATGCAATTCTATAAATATTCTTTCTGTAAGAATAAATCTAGTTAATATTATATTATAGTAAATGCAAATTTTATTTGCTTGCATAAAGCACTTTCACCAACAATTTTTTTTATAACACTCTTTATGTAGTAAAAAAGTTCATGCATTTCTTCATTCTCTGATTTCTCGTTTATATTTATACTTTTTTTTTATAGAGAATCAAATAATCAAGTTAGTATCTTAAATTTCTTCTCATCTAATTTTTCATTTCAAAAGTTATATATAACTATAATTATTCACAGATTAATTATAATCGATCAAGTACATATTGCTATCGTAATTTAAAACAAATTTCATTACACTGATAAATGTATATTATGCAAAATTTCCGAAGTCTTATCTATATTTTTGTATGCATTATAAAATCTCCCAATACGTGATTGTTAATACTACACCCCAACAAGTGATACCCTTCAAATATATGCTTGAATCTAACACACTAGAAAATCTAGTGTGTTAGACGCCTGTTTCATATAGTTTCTTGGCTATTCACTGATTGCGAGCTACGCGATGTCTTTCGATTCATTGGTTCCAGGTAAGCTGCTGGTGCCCATCCTTCTATTCCAGTGTTTATTAATTTTACAAACCACCAACCAGCACATCCGACTTTAAGTAGTTCTAAATTATCTCCCTCACGCATTGTAACTTCTGATTGACCAACTGCGCAATAATCGGCTAATGCTACGTATCTTCCACCCTAATTGGATATAAAATTTATAGCGTGTTAACTTTTAATTCTAAAAGTTTTAACTATAGCTCTGTTCTTAATAGTAAATTAATTTTATCTAAATATCGTTTGAAATGAAACTTACAGGAGCAGGACCAGGATTTTCACTGAAAGCATCTTCGTCATCAGTATTACTGTTTTCCGAACTCCATGCAACATCATCTTCAGTTGATTGTGAAATATCTGTAATATGTGATATAACACTGCTACCATCAACTGAAAGTGTTCTCAAAGATCCTGAAACGCTGCCTTGAGCTTCCCATGAAATCGTTTGCCGCAAGGGTCTACAAATATTTTGCGCAAAACTATTATCATCATTAGAATTTTTAATTTAATTTAATTTAAGTTCTATAAATAATGACATATACTTGTGATTTGTTTTTCCAAGAGCAGAATTTTGTTTCCCTTTAAGTTCAGCTAATTGAGACATTAAAACGCCTTTAATTTGACGCACCCAAGACTGCTTCACATCAACGGTAGGTGCTTGTATTGTATGTACTTCAGCTCGACCTTGTAACCAAATTTCAAACCGTCTTGCATCGCCCTTTACTGATTCTGTTAGTCCAATTTGTGACATCTAATGAAAAATAAA